CGAATGCCGAAAGCCCGTTTTGGGCCGGTGGCGACACATATCACAACTTAGCATCAACATGGTTAATCGATTTCAACTTAACAACGTATTTAACATAAGCAATGATAAACAACTAATGTGTCATCACATATATCAACTAAGGAGATCTCCTAAAATAAAGGTTAACAATTTAAGTGGTTATACCTTTTCAAATTACAACATGTGACCTATCTTAATCAAGTCAACTATTAAGTCTCTTAAAGAATTTGTTTAACAACTTAATTTCATTTTTCAGGTTTCGTTACTTAAATTAAAAAGTTTAGTACTATTGTCGAGGTAAAACAACTTGAGCATGACTCTACAACGACACTAACTTGCAATATTAAGCCACTTATGAGATTAACCCACCGATTACCCTCCAAATATCATGTCCTTGTAATACTTGATTAGAGATTAAGTCACTGACTTTGTACTTTATTTGGTTTGTTGCTTTATATATGCATGTTTCGACCTTGTCCACATACAAACACCACATAAAATCTATATGAGACAACTTAAAACAATTATCCACTTAGAATCCAGTTTACTTACTGAAGGGTTTTAACTTGGGCTTTTGGAGTACCACAAGTATATTCACACAATGTGATATTTAGTTTTCTTAAACAACTTTTACTTTCCTTTAGTTTTCATGTATGTCAACAAATACATGTATGTACACCATATACCTATAACATAATAACTCGCTTAAGTATAACATTTTACAACTTATCATCAATCATCTCACAACTTAACAACATAAACATCATCACATAATATATAAACTAGGAACATCATGAACTATCATCATATCATATTCATCATACAACTTAATCATCACTTTTCAATCACAGACAACTTGAAACATCATATCAACAACATGAAATCCGCACCCTATGCCATCTCTTAGATGCTTGGTGCCATTAAGGCAGGGGGACTTTTTGTCTTGCCCATGCTCAACATGGTCAAACAAAGGGCTTTTGTTTAACTCACATTTAATGTCACTCCACTAGCGCTTGACGTGGATCCAAACAGAAATGAGTCTCTTTTCTCACAATGCCCAATGCCATTCAAACTCATGTTCAACGTAAACAAGTCAGAGACAATTCTTTTTCCTCATGTTCGACACCACCAATCACACACCTAACATTTGACTTTGAACCACACCTAGCACCATAAAGTCG